ATATATATATATATATAATATATATATATATATATATATATATATATATATATATATATATATATATATATATATTATATATATATATATATATATATATATATATATATATAGACATGTATGTATGTATATATAAAATACTGTATATATATTTTTTTCAACAAGTCGGCCGTTTCCCACCGAGGCAGGGTGACCGAAAAAAAGAAAGAAAATCCCAAAAGAAAATACTTTCATCATCATTCAACACTTTCACCCCCACTCACACATTATCACTGCTTTTGCAGAGGTGTTCAGAATACAACAGTTCAGAAGCATATACGTGTAAAGATACACAACATATCCCTCCAAACTGCCAATATATATATATAAATAATATATATATATATATATATATATATATATATATATATATATATATATATATATATATATATATATTTCTTTCTTTCAAACACACCGGCCGTATCCCACCGAGGCGGGGTGGCCCAAAAGGAAAAACTAAAGTTTCTCCTTTTACATTTAGTAATATATACAGGAGAAGAGGTTACTAGCCCCTTGTTCCCGGCATTTTAGTCGCCTCTTACAACACGCATGGCTTACGGAGGAAGAATTCTGTTCCACTTCCCCATGGAGATAAGAGGAAATAAACAAGAATAAGAACTAGAAAGAAAATAGAAGAAAACCCAGAGGGGTGTGTATATATGTGCTTGTACATGTATGTGTAGTGTGACCTAAGTGTAAGTAGAAGTAACAAGACATACCTGAGATCTTGCATGTTCATGAGACAGAAAAAAGGACACCAGCAATCCTACAATCATGTAAAACAATTACAGGCTTTCGTTTTACACTCACTTGGCAGGACGGTAGTACCTCCCTGGGCGGTTGCTGTCTACCAACCTACTACCTATAAATATTAATATATATATATATATATAAATATATATATATATATATATATATTTTATATATATATATATATATATATATATATATATAAATGAAACCACGAAACAAGTGGTATTGAATCATTTCCAAAATGCAGCAGGCCAGGATTCTACCCCATGACACAATGTCCCGCCTCAAGAGACAACACAACGTATGTGTCACCCTATCCATCGATCTTTCGAGTGGATAGGGTGACACGTATGTTGTGTTGTCTCTTGAGGCGGGACACTGTGTTGTGGGGTCGAATCCTGGCCTGCCGCAGTTTGGTAAATGATCCAATACCACCTGTTTCGTGGTTTCATTGATATATATATATTATATATATATATATATATATATATTATATATATATATATATATATATAAATATATATATATATATATATATATATATATATATATACACAACCCCTTCTCCTGTTATATTACTAAATGTAGGAGAAACTTTCGTTTTTTCCCTTTGGGCCACCCCGCCTCGGTGGGATACGGCCGATGTGTTGATATATATATATATACACACATACAATAAAATTTTAATATAGAACAATGTATATAACAAGGCCTAGGTAGTATGTTGGTAGACAGCAACCGCTCAGGGAGGTACTACCGTCCTGCCAAGTGAGTGTAAAACAAAAGCCTGTAATTGCTTTACATGATGGTAGGATTGCTGGTGTCTTTTTTGTCTCATAAACATGCAAGATTTCAGGTACGTCTTGCTACTTCTACTTACACTTAGGTCACACTACACATACATGTACAAGCGTATATATACACACATCCCTCGGGGTTTACTTCTATTTTCTTTCTGGTTCTTGTTTATTTCCTCTTATCTCCATGGGGAAGTGGAACAGAATTCTTCCTCCGTAAGCCATGCGTGTTGCAAGAGGCGACTAAAATGCCGGGAGCAAGGGGCTAGTAACCCCTTCTCTTGTATATATTACTAAATATAAAAGGAGAAACTTTCGTTTTTCCTTTTGGGCCACCCCGCCTCGGTGGGATACGGCCGGTGTGTTGAAAGAAAGAAAAAAGTATATAAGAAGTGTAATGTGTGAGTGCACTTGTGCAACATTCTCATGGGAGAACCAAGAAGCATACTGTACATCTTCACATCCTTCTCTCAGTGATTCTTCTCAGACAGTTTTACAATGAAGGTCAACTTGGAGTTTGGACTTGAGCTGTTTAGACTTATAATGTTATAAAGCGAATCATCAATTTAAGAGAGGAAAAAATTATATTTTGTCTAAAATTTCCTCTATAAATCGCAGGTTAGTCTTAAATTGTTTCAGCCACAATATTACAAATTATTCTGCATTAACGTTCATTCAGTAAATTCTGTTTAACATTACTATATAGTAATCTGATTTTTATATATTAAATATATTTAATTCTTCGAAAATCCAAGATGATTTCTATCATTTTCACATTATGTATAGCAACTTCCGCAGTTATGAGGAATGTTACCTCACGTAAAAACAAACTCCTTAATCCTCTAATCTGGACTCTATCATTTTTGTAAAATATCCGGCTTTACAGATTAATAAGTTATAAACAGGTATTTTCATCGAACTCTGTAATATACAAGACACATTAATATAGTTCTGTAGAATCCCCATTAATATCATAAATTATAGTTAGCAGCTTTTATATTTTTTTTCTAAATTGATATCGACACACGTACAGTAATTTTAAAGGAGCAACACGTTCAGTTTCATCCCTGGTTTTCTTGGTCAGCGAGCATCTCGGGTTCCAGGCAGACAAAATGATCAGTGTTAGTTGGGGTGTAACACAACAGAGGATCTGTGCTCTGTCGTTTAAATTCTTCCAGGTCTCTTGCGCTGCACAAAGGAGTTGGAATCTATAAAAAGAAAAAAATCAATTATATGAGGAATTTTGTTTATAAGTACATGTACATTATATGAACATTGTTTCACCATCTTAAATAAGCACATTTATGTAATCAAGCTGCCCTGTTTATTATTCCAACATGTTAGGTACGTACAATCAGGTAGCTGTTTTGTTCTAGGATGTTTAAAACTCCTCCTCTTCTAAACTTTCACATCCTCCCACTAATCATTTCTCAAAAGGGTTCCTTCACATCTTTCCATTTACCATTTATACACCATTTCCATTTATATACCAATAAAGTTTTAATGCAGTGGTTGGAACAATTCACCAAAACTCCTCACTTTTCTCTCAGTTGACAGTGGTCGAGGACAGACAGACGTCGTCATAACTGTCTCCTCGAGCGGGCTTTTGTTGAACTGCACTGTCTCGCCAATCTACTCTGTTCCATTATTTCTAAATAAACAAATTATCTCGACACAGCTGATTTCTTAATTAAGGTTTTCATATCACCATTTGGCCGTCTAATTTCTACACTGGTAATCTCCGTATATTTACACACACATTTATCCTTAAATATCACATCTCCACTGCCTACAGACTCCTCCTCGCTGCAACATTAAAACAACATGGCTCACACCCAAAGGTGTTGACAACTATAATTTGCCTCTCCACAAATAACTTCCTCAATTCTATCCTTATCGTTCGTCTAAGATTCACATCGTCTTTCATAAACCCATCTACCAACACATTCACTTCTTCCTGGAGTTTACCTGGAGAGAGTTCCGGGGGTCAACGCCCCCGCGGCCCGGTCTGTGACCAGGCCTCCTGGTGGATCAGAGCCTGATCAACCAGTGCCAGCTTGAAGACTGCCAGGGGTCTGTTGGTAATCCCCCTTATGTATGCTGGGAGGCAGTTCAACAGTCTCGGGCCCCTGACACTTATTGTATGGTCTCTTAACGTGCTAGTGACACCTCTGCTTTTCATTGGGGGGATGTTGCATCGTCTGCCAAGTCTTTTCCTTTCGTAGCGAGTGATTTTCGTGTGCAAGTTCGGTACTAGTCCCTCTAGGATTTTTCAGGTGTATATAATCATGTATCTCTCCCGCCTGCATTTCAGGGAATACAGGTTTAGGAACCTCAAGAGCTCCCAGTAATTGAGGTGTTTTATCTCCGTTATGCGTGCCGTGAAGGTTCTCTGTACATTTTCTAGGTCAGCAATTTCATACTTATATGGTAGAGGACTTTGGGAGGGTGGGTAAATGAAGTTGAAAATGGACACAGAAAAGAGCAAGATGATGTTAGTAGTAAAAAAAAAAGGGGGGGGGGGGTGACAGGTTATATATCAGTACAATAAATCACTGCTTAAATTTTGGTGGGATTATGGTGAGAAAAATTTATAGTATAAAGTGAGAAATAATTCAAGTGAGAAATAATTCAAAATGATGAATAATTCAAAATGATGAATAATTCAAGATTAACTCACCTCTTTTGTTTTGTTAAATTCCCTAAAATCCACAACATAGTTATCAGAAGCCTTGTCAAAATGTACTAGATTTTCAAATCTGTGACCCCATAGAACATCTGAGGGTTGATAGGAGTACCGCGCCTGCATAGTGTTGCCTGTAGATTCTGTTGTGCCCTCTAGGTAAACTACAAGTTCAAACCTGAAAGAAAAAGCATAATACTTAATATATTTAGGAGGTTGACGGTTGGTCTGCTATTAGAGGAAGGATAGAACCTACAATGTTCCTTGCTCTGAATGACAGTTTGAGCGCATCATGAAATACCAACTGTAAAATTATTTTTTTTCGTTTATATGGGCATACTCATGGCTGCTGCCTTGACTGAGAAAATTGTGTCCCTGAGGACATTCATCCGATTATTGGCTAAAGCCAACAACTGTAGCCTGCCAGTCCATTCCTAAGTGTAGTATATATACACAGGAGTATCTGTGAAAATACACAAATATACATCTCTTAGTGTATGTACCACTATTTCTGTATTTCTCGGAATCGGCAACAGGGAGAACAAGAAGGTACATAAAATAGAGAAAGAACAGTAGATGACTGAAATGGATTCAAGTACTGGAAATTTTAAAATATATGTATAGCAAATTAAATTTAACAGGACATGATTCACTAAGACACAAATATGCGATTAACACACCACCATGAGACACCCTGAAACAGGTTGAAGAAAAGTTTAGTAACTAAGGTCTCTTACCTTTCATTCATAAGATCCACAGCGGACATATTAAAGAAAGGTGAATTTTCATCAATAATGTGAACAATAGTCATCGGCCATATAAAGAAGAGATTCTCAGAGCCATCATCATTGCCTACTTTGACATCATAGTGGTGATATGGGATCTCTTCTCCCTCTTCCGTTCTTCTCTTACGTAAAACCTGGGGAAAAAAAATTTAAAGTTTTCTAGAAATAACGATAAAAATCCAACGAAATGCCTCGGCATGATAGTGGCTTTCTTTGTACTTAGCAAACCAATATTGTAATTACACACTGTAATCTATGAAAAGAAATAAACTCCTTAATTCTTAAAATGAGTAAAAGTTTAGGGATAAAGCACCAAAATCAGTCTACTAGATGCTGTCACTGCTCTACCTTTCTTTGTTCGGTCTGTATAGAGATCTCAATTACATAAACAAGTGAAGGTGGATAGGAGAAAGTCTATATTGGTAAAAGGATTCTTGATCCTAAGAAATTGGAGCTATCCTCTTATTTTCCAGGCGCTTCATGACTTGCTTCCCGATGAATATTAAAATCAATACTACTACTTATAACAACAATAATAGTAATAAATTATACATATCAAGTATGTGGACAGGGGCTATTTACTTGAACAAGTAAACTTTATTAAGAACATAATTACCAACACTAACTTGTGCTTTAACGCTGGCACCGATGATAAAAGACTTCCTCATGTCTCCGACACGGAACATGAGGCAGAGTTTACCGTCACGGAGACAGATACAAGCATTGCGGGAGAACAAGATGGTGTTGGTCCGCTGCTTGGGACGTGTCAGTTTGGCAAACACAACACCTACCATGAACGCCTGTAATATGACGCCAGTAATGCTTTGAGTACATTAAAAAAAACTGCCTTTCTGGACACTCCTCTGTGGCGTTAATTGTAAAAGAACAAACTTGCTTAATAATGTACATTACATTAAAGGCAGATTAATTTATTATAACAAAAATGAAATATTAGTTTTTTTTTTCGTATCAAATACATTAAATTTAAAGCAATACATCTCAAATGGCGTGACACGTTTAAAGTTCCACTTGAATACAATAAGTGCCCAGGACAATTTTTTGGGATAAGAGGGCAGTGTGTGAATCTGAATTTTAATATATTCGAGTTAGCTACAAAAAACACTTCGTGGAGAACATCACTCACAGCATCTCCACTGCACAGTCAGTCTTGCACTTTTTAATTAAAAAATTTAGCAAAAATCGATGTGTAGATATTTATTTTAAGGGGTCCAACATCCTTTAAAATCAATATCTACCCAAAATGAGCTTTAAATACAAATTAAGACTACTGTATATAGCATTTAATAACCAAGTAATGGCATCAATTTAGATCAATTCTATACTGAAAAACTAGAAACGAAAAAAAAGTATTAATTAAAAAGACCATTCACAAGAAATTATACATTACCTGTAACCATAGCCTATTGTATGCTGAGTTTCAATTGAAAAGAGGAAGCTGCCGGTAAAACTCTGGACGTTTTGTACACAAGGTGTGTGATCCTGTGTCTCCTGGTCATCCCCGTGTACTTTGATGATCATATACCAGATGAAGGCAAACGTTAGCCAACTGGAAGATGGGGAAAGACTCATAGAAAATCAACAAACTATACACGAGGCAATAAAGCTACGAGGCTTTAATATAACTTATGAATGCAGACCAACAATGTATTGGATTACGAATGCAATTAATAATTCTTCCAGGGCCTACCTTGGACGGGCCCTGCACAGGTCTCTCCTTTAAAAGGGCCTACCCAGACTGGTTTAATTCACACCACCACCTCCACTCACCTGATGATAAAGCCAAGAAAAAAGACTATGAGAGTCCACCGCCATTGTACATCAACAAGGGTTGTGTAGAGATCCTGAAGGTAGCGAGAACGACGCTTCTTCAGGTTGGCATAAGTCATGTTACAATCGCCATTTTTCCTGATGATATCTTGCCGCGTCCCCGAACTCATAAGCCCTAAAATACAACAAACATATGAATACATAATAAATACTAGGTGGTGCCTAAAATATGCAATGATTATAGATGAAAATGGAATAAGAAAGAATTATGGGATCTGCATGTTGGGAAGTCATTCAGCTCTGTACAATATAAACTCCCCATCAAGACACTATACAGATGAAATATTAAAAAAAAAATCAATAAAAACCATGCATAAGCAATAAAACACAATATTCTCCAAAACATTAAAAGCCTATGTATCCACTCTTGCCTAAAAACTCACCTTCTCCATCCAAGAATGGAATCAATGGTCATTTGGGAGACTACTCTCAGAAAATCGAAAATACCATGTATTCTACACAGTAAGGCCTACGTAGGCCGTAAGCACTTTGCTGCACCAACGAAAGCTACAAAACCGTATATTCGCAAAAGAATGGAGGCTTTCCCTTCCATTTTTGAATCACAAAAGGTAGGTAAAAAATAGATTTGGGAAGAACAAATTTCTTTTCTCCAATTTATTGATAAAGTTTCAGAAAAAATTTGCTGCGGAAAATTTTATTTTTTTTTGCCAAATTTTTTCCCAAGGTAAAAACTAAGTTTAAAAAATTTCAAAAAAAATGCATATTT